TCTCTCCTCCCTCCTCCCTCCTCCCTCGTCTCTCCTCCCTCCTCCCTCCTCCCTCGTCTCTCCTCCCTCGTCTCTCCTCCCTCGTCTCTCCTCCCTCCTCCCTCGTCTCTCCTCTCTGTTTTCTCTCTCTCCTCCCTCCTCCCTCGTCTCTCCTCTCTGTTTTCTCCCTCTCCTCCTCACTCTCTCACCCAGTCTCAGTGAAGTGGACTTTGCAGTAACGTTTTCTACCAACATGTCCTGGACCCGGGTCTTAGTCCTGTCTGGGACCACCTTCCTACTGATCCTCACCTGTGAGTAGACCTAGACCTGGTGTAGACCTAGACCTGGTGTAGACCTAGACCTGATGTAGACCTAGACCTGATGTAGACCTAGACCTGGTGTAGACCTAGACCTGGTGTAGACCTAGACCTGGTCTTCCTCACTGTCAGTGGATACTTTAAGGACCATCTGTACTTTTCTGTGCAGGTTCTAGCGTGGTGGACTGTGCTGTGGTACAGGACCAGTCAGAGACCAAAGGTATGGACCTGTAGGGACCGGGAGGAAATGTGGTGGATGGTGAATTATTTTGGGGTAAGGGAGGTCTTAGGAGGTCATAGAGTCTGTGAGTTGACCAAATAGGGGGCTCAGTCTGGACCCAGTACCTTTGAAGTAGTTCTCAGTACTGTTCACTACCACTTACTGACCGATGGTCCTCTGGTCCACAGGTGTTCCACCAGGAGTCTTCATGGTCCAATCAGACGCCTCCAATCTGTTCAAACCACGTAGTCGCCGTTCACCTCCGTACTACGAGGCTCAAGGTAAGGTCACAGTCCAGGTGAGACGCTGCTGCAGGTGTTGACCGTGGACAGGGTTCAGATACTTTCACAGTCCTGGACCTCGTCCATTTAGGTCCCTCCAACCACGGCTTTGTTACTGACACAACTTCAACTTCATGACTGACCCTTCACTGGCCCCGCCCCAGTGGTTGGTTTCTCTTGGTTTATCTCGTTCTCTGTCCTCGGTTGGATGAAGGAAGTCTTTGTCATTTGGCTCCACATTAGAGGAGCGCTTGATGTGTCACACTGGGCAGCAGGAGATGTGGCCCAGTTGGCCTCAAGAGGGCGCTGAATAAACGGAGTAGACCACATCGTCTGAGGTTTGGCTGCAGTGGACATTTGGAAATTTGATTTCCAAAAATGGAAGAGACGACAGTGGAAAGTCTGGCAGGTGCTGTTGTTCAGACACACACACACACACACACACTCACACACACACACACACACACACACACACACACTCACACTGAAGGAGTCCCAGGGTTGAATGGAGCAGCACTCATTCCTTCAGTACTTCTGTGTACTATTGTGTACTTCTTTATGATGACTTATTTGTCACAGCGCAGTGATCACTGGTATTAACCAGTGGTCACTGGTATTAACCACAGTGACCACTGGTATTAATACCAGTGACCACTGGTTGATACCAGTGACCACTGGTTGATACCAGTGACCACTGGTTGATACCAGCTGCGGACCAGCTGTTGAAATGTTAACAGTAGAAAAGTAGGGACAGAAGTTTTACAGATAAAACTGTTGACCTTTGACCTTTCACTCTAACTCAAAAGTGAAATATGTCTCTTTGTCGTAGCTGAGCAGAGGGTAAAGATCTTAGCAACTGAGCACTGGCGAGAGCACAACGAGGAGAAGATGGATGAATACGACAGATACACCAGGGAGTACAGCAAAGGTAAGAACCGAGCTAACGCTAGCTACAACAGCCCTGGAACAGACACCAGAGCTCACGCTAGCTACCACAGTCCTGGTGCAGCCCCCAGAGCTAACGCTAGCTATAACAGCCCTGGTACAGACAACAGAGCTAACGTTAGCTACAACAGCCCTGGAACAGACACCAGAGCTCACGCTAGCTACCACAGTCCTGGTGCAGCCCCCAGAGCTAACGCTAGCCACAACAGCCCTGGTACAGACAACAGAGCTAACGTTAGCTACAACAGCCCGGGTACAGACCCCAGAGCTAACGTTAGCTACAACAGCCCTGGAACAGACACCAGAGCTTAACGCTAGCTTTTTTTGGATCCCATCCAAACCCTTATTTGAGGTCTACCTTTTGTAGACCATCTTCCCCTCTTGACCCCGGCCTAGTCTGATGTTGTTTTTTTTCCCACAGAGACAAATGAAAGAACGAGGGAAACCAACGAGCAGCTGCGAGAGTTCCACTACGACGGTCGCTATCCTCGGTACCACTGGTTCCACTGAGACTGGACTTTGTCCTCATTATTCCACAGTGGCCGGTGGAACAGTCTACAGTGGCCTTTTTACTGGGGTGACCCTCATGTTGTGCATGCTTTTGTTTCATTTTTGGACTTTTCCATAAACATATCTGAAGCCTGGACCTGGTGTGGGTTCTGTTTGTGCTGCAGTGGACCGGGGTCCTGTAGTGGACCGGGGTTCTGTAGTGGACCGGGGTCCTGTAGTGGACCGGGGTCCTGTAGTGGACGGGGGGGGGGTGGTCACAGCTACGTCCCTCCTCCACTGAGACCTGCTCCTGGAGCCTCCATCCAACAGATGGCAGTGTTGCATCAACAACAGGTATTTTCTCTGTTCCTTAGAAACTGAAATGATTGAACCAATGGTTCCAAACCCCCGGCCCGCAGCTCTCACACACACACACAGACACAGACACAGACACAGACACAGACACAGACACAGAGTGGAACTGTTCTGTATCAAATGAAGAACCGATTCCTCAGGGGTCAGAAAGGGACTTTAATGGTGTCAGTACTGTTTCCTGTCTGTGATCCGTGGCTTTAAAAACACAATTTATCAACAGTGTTGGAGACAAAAGAGGAAAAGGTCAAGAAAAGGTCAAGAAAAGGTCAAATAAAGGTCAAGGCTCCGTCACTTCATGCTGTTCAGGAACCTTCCGTGCTCCTCCCCCCTCGGCTGGAGAAGTTCTCCCCCAATCTTAGGTCCTTTTTTCTCCTGTGTGGGAGGGAGGGAGGAAGGGAGAGAGAGGGAGGGAGAGTGAGGGAGGGGGTGAGAGGGAGGGAGAGTGAGGGAGGGGGGGAGGGAGGGAGGGAGTGAGGGAGAGAGAGGGAGGGAGAGAGAGTGAGGGAGAGTGAGGGAGGGGGTGAGGGAGGGAGAGAGAAGGAGGGAGGAAGCAGAACCACGGGTTGAAGTTTAACTGAACACAGCAGTGTGAGTCTGTGTGTGTGTGTGTGTGTGTGAGTCTGTGTGTGTGAGTCTGTGTGTGTGTGTGTGTGTGAGTCTGTGTGTGTGAGTCTGTGTGTGTGTGTGTGTGTGTGTGTTCATACCTTCATCATCCCGTCACGCTCCCATTTGAACAGACCACAGTTACTGCAGAGGGAGAAGAAGACTTCAGAGCAGGAAGTACCAGGAAGTACCAGGAAGTACCAGAGTACACAAAGGCTGCAGTACAGCGTGTACTTTTTACTGAACAAACTCTTGTCCATCATGGACAACCATGTGCAGTTACCCCATCAAACTGTAGGGGGAGCACCTCCTGTGACTGCACATCTATCTGCCTGATGAGTGGTTCCTGGTACAGAGACCATGGACCATGGACATCTGTCCCTCACTGGTCCATGTCCCTGAGACATATGTTCTAACCTCCTCCTCCTCCTCCCTGTACTCTGTGCAGTGTTCCTGCAGACACCTGTTGGGGGGGGGGGGTTCTGACCTGCAGTGCTGGTGTGGGAGTCGGTCCAAAGCTATGGCTCGCTGACCACAGGGACACCTGAAGAAGCGTTTGACGGCGTCGAGCCAGTGCAGCTGATGGTTCTCCTCCACGCAGCGGTCGGCCGGTTTGAAGAAGGTGTAGTTACACTGAGG